TATATTTTGGATAGGATTCATTTCCTTGTTCAAATTTAAATTTAATTTAAATCCAAGAGGAAAAATTCTGTGGGGTTTGATCTGACCACTATGATATATATTTGATGCAAAAATTGATTGAATGAATTGATGAGCAGATTTCAACATTGATATGACAGTTGAAACATGGCAACAAATCTGTATTGTAAGACACTACCCTCTGATTGGTGATTTCTTGCCCAACTTGACGTCCACATTGTCTCATTTTGATCTTGCCGATGTGACATCGATCTTCTGGCTTTCTCCTATATTTTGGATAGAAGTCAGTCGATTGTTCCAATTTAAATTTAATTTAAATCAAAGGGAAAACATTTCAGTGGGGGACTTATACGCCCCCACCCAACATCACCACCACTCAGGCGGACCCTATTTGATCAAAACATACCTCTAAAATGTGAATCTCTTACCTTAGCTTTAAAATATGAATCCGTTTCAATACCTCATATATATATATATATATATATATATATATATATATATATATATATATATATATATATATATATATTTGAAACATTCACCACCTATATTTTGACACAAGATGTCATTCTAATGACATTCCGACCTTGATACTGGACCGTGATGGCTGGCGTATTAGTACTCATGAATGTCCGAGCTAGCTCGACTGAATAAAGTTGTGATTCTTTTATGATGGTCTGTGTTGATTCTTTGAGGATGGTCAGACTTATAAAGGTGAATAATCTAAAATATGGCACATGGTGATTATGACTATCTGTATTTATTACTTTTAATTGGTATTACCCCATAAAAGACAGTAAAGCCATTAAGACACAAGAGGGTTACACGGTGTGGATGAATTCGGAACAGACAGATTAATAATGATTGGAAAGAGAAAAGAGTAATCAGGAGTATAATATTATGCGTGTTATCTGAAACAAGAGGAGCAACGCTAAATAACTCCGAGAAATATCATGAACAACCTAGCAGAGTGAAAAAAGATGGTTATTTGTTACCAGAGAAAGATATTTAAATTCAAAGGTGAAGAACGTTAGCTATAAGGGAAATTAGGATGAAGTTCAAGTTAAATGTAGAAAATATAAGTATTATGATTAAATTGTTATGGTACCATACATCTAAAATGTGAATCACTTACTTTAGTTTTAAAATATGAATCCGTTTCAATACCTCATTTACCATACATCTAAAATGTGAATCTCTTACCTTAGATCTAAAATGTGAATCCGTTCCAATACATCTAAAATGTGAACCTCTTACCTTAGCTCTAAAATGTGAATCCGTTCCAATACATCTAAAATGTGAATCAGTTATCTTAGTTCTAAAATGTGAATCATTTCCAATACATCATTTACCATAATTCTAAAATGTGAACCTCTTACCTTAGGTCTAAAATGTGAATTCGTTGCAATACATCTAAAATGTGAATTCATTCCAATACATGATTTACCATATCTCTAAAATGTGAATCTCTTACCTTAGCACTATAATGTTAATCCGTTCCAATACATTATTTACCTTACATCTAAAATGTGAATCTCTTACCTTAGCCTTAAAATCTGAATCCGTTTCAATATCTTATTTACCATACCTCTAAAATGTGAATCTCTTACCTGAGCTCTAAAATCTGAATCCGTTCCTATACATCATTTATCATACATCTAAAATGTGAATCTCTTACTTTAGCTCTAAAATCTGAATCTCTTTCAATACTTCCTTTACCATACAGGTAAATCTCTTATCATATCTCTAAAATGTGAATGCCTTCCAATACATCCTTTACCGTACATCTAAAATGTGAATCTATTATCATATCTGCAAAATGTGAATAACTTCCAATATTTTAACAGCATTCCTTTAAAATATGACTATCTTACAATGCCTCTGGTATTGGGATCTTTTACAATACCTCTATAATGTGAATCCCTTTCAATACATCTAAAACGTGAATCTCTTCTAATACCTGCAAAATCTGAGTCCTCCTTACCACAACTGCAAATCTTGATTCACTTACTGTAACTTTAAAATGTGAATCTTTACGATGCCATAAAAAAACTGCTCGTTTTACTATATCTCTAAAATATAAATCCCTTATCATGCCACGAAAATTTGAATTCTTTGTTGCATCACTTGAACTTATGTAAGACAATAAAATATGAAATATTAATTAAACTAATACTGGTTTTCCATTATTTATATTGGTTCGAATAGACACGTTTATTATTAAACAGTTTTATTTAAATAGCTTATTTAAACTCGACACAAAGCCAAGCAGAAGTAAACAGAAACAGTCCAATTGTGTCGTTCCAATCTTTCACATGAGCTGAACCTGTCGAGTTGACTTGAACCTTTGCAAATGATAATCTCCGCTTCGGGGTAAGCGAACTTTTAATTATAAACTAAAATCGATATTTATTCTTATTTATTCAAAACATTTTTATTACATTCCAATGACTTTTTCTGCTTGAATATTTTTTCAATTTTCAAATAAATCCGTTTTATTGAATGATTCCAAGTCTATCTAGCTGAAAATTTCTGGGAATGAATTCTATTAATTTAATATATTTGAAACAATTTCTTGAAATGGACAATAATGTGACTTGTATAAAAAGAAAGAAAAAGGAAACAAAAGAAAAACATGAAAATAATTGTCTTTATTCATTTAAACACCACCATTAATTTTCAAGGGACGTATAATTTCACTGTCCATAGTAAAAGTTCAATACAATACTTATTCCTGTTTTTTTTTTCCAATTATTGTTGTCAGACAACTTCCAAAAATCACTCAACCTCTAGAAAACAAACATGTGCTCTATATTCACTGCCTAAATTAGAGATGAGAAACGTGTTTTGTGTAATTCTTTGTCCAAATTCACCAAATGAATGAAAAATTTTGTTATCAAGTATATTTTAAAAATATTATTTAAGACAAGTAGTTCGTTCTCTACCTGAAGTGATTGAATAGTCATTACAACTTCCATATACAGAGATTGTTTTTTCTTAATATAGAAGATTCAGCCATTTTTTTTTCTAAAATGCATATTGATTTAAAAAAACAAGACGAACTTCAATTCAGATTAAATTAAATAGGAAATGAAAACCGCAATGTATTGACAAATGTAATAATATAAGAGAGCGATTTGTTTATTTTAAATTCTTGCATCATGGCAAAATTTGGCACAAACCATCGAGGAATGGAATGAAAATATTGTGACCAAAGGAATACTATACGGCCAATTATTAAAATTCTAGCAGAACATAGGAACCGCTCTTTCAGCATCCTAATTTTGAACACAAACAATATATATATATATATATATATATATATATGGGGGGGTCTGTGTGTTTGTGTATGTGTGTGTGTGTGTGTTTCCATATATTCATCTTTTGATTGCAAAATGGAAAACTAAACAATTCAAGGCATCGTGTCTGGTCCATATAAGAGAACATAGACGTAAGGCTAAAGCAAGGATACTTGAACCCGCTTCATCAACTGACAGTTTTGAACGTTAATTCAAATCTGGAATGACGTCACACAAACGATATAGGCACAAACCTAACTGAAAATTATTGTGAATTGTTGAACACTGATACGTCGAAAACGACGACAGAGTCCATTATATATATACATACATTCATATATATATATATATATATATATATATATATATATATATATATATATATATATATATATTATATATATGTATACATATGTGTGTGTGTGTGTGCGTGTGTGTGTGTTTGTGCGTATGTGTATGTATTAGATACGATGGATAAATTGTCGTCTAAATTTCGAGGAAATGAAAATAAGACTGACATCACATTTCAACAGATATATTTACACAAAAATTTCTAAATACAAAAAATTAAATGTATTCAATAACATCGCCATTGGATACAACCAGGGCCTCCAGATGACTTCGGAATTTCCTGCAACTCTTCTGTGCGGTTTCCTTGTTTAATTTGGTGAATACTGTCATAATCCTTGCCTTCAGTTCATCTTTGGTGTTACAAGGAGATTTGCTTCTCTCTCGCTCAACTCCGCCCCTCATATAATAATCAAGGGGGTTTCAGTCTAGGTAGTTTGGTGGCCAGATATAAAGGGTGATGTGGTCGCAGAAATTCTCTGACAGCAATGACTGGATTCACCTGCTTGTGTGGTATGGTGCACAGTCTTATTAACAGACATATGGTATTCCATTAGCCACCCTTTTAACCTAGAGCAGCACTACCTCCTCAAAGCATTTACGTAGGCCTGTGTGTTGAGTCTGGGGCCTTGTTGGAAGATGAATGGATGCATAACGTCGCCATCATCAGTGTTTACTTCAAAGATATTCGTAATCACCATTATACTCATCCAACTCTTTCCGAATCCTCTTGTTTGTCTAAAAAGTTCTTATTGGAACTTCTGGCAAAAATGCCAAGCTGTACAGCATGCCGTTTCAAAATTTCTGGTGGAATGAATTGCGTCATAGTGTTTTTTTTTTCTCACAGACGGTGCCCAACTGACCCTACTCTATTGTGAAGTCGACAAAATCATTAACAAACAAAGCTCATGCGTGAAATTAAAATCATAATATAACTGGATTTTACGCACTGCACCATATATATATATATATATATATATATATATATATATATATATATATATATATATATATATGTATATGTGTGTGTATATATGTATGTATGTATGTATGTATGTATTACCCATAGGCCAATTAGTATAGTTGGTTACTATGTGTTTTTATATTACTTTTTTAATAGATGACTAATATAACAGGAAAGATTGACAACTAATTCTATACTTGAAAGGTCAAGATTTAATTAGCGAATAAAGTTTTAAATTCCAGGTGGAGACGTTAGGAGTATAGAGTTGAAATAGATTTAAAAAGGAACCTAAAATCCAATCAAAATAAGGCATGAACCTCTATTCCTGTCCAAAAGACCGGGGAGAAGCGTAAACCGAACGATTCGCAAACCTATCTACTCTTAAAGAGAGAGAGAGAGAGAGAGAGAGGGAGAGAGAGAGAAAGAAACTGAGATAGATAGATAGATCTGAACAGAGAGAAATAGATAGATAGATAGATAGATAGATAGATAGATAGATAGATAGATAGATAGATAGATGCATGCATACATACATACATACATACATGCATCTGAACAGACTGCTATATGTACATTTTACGAAACTTTCACCTAATACAGGGCCCAAGAGCCACCCACGGTAAATAGTTAGAAGTTTAAGATTGTACTGATCAAGGAAGTATCCTCTTGGGAGTCTGTTCCACAATGTAATTGTTCTTGGAAAGAAGGTGTCTGAGTAAATCGTTTTAATAATGTGTTGAAACTTGAATAAAGCATGGAATAATAATAATACAACACAAAATGTATTTAAACAAAATGTATTGACACAAGAACGTGTACACAATATTTACAGATAGTTTTGGTATATTCTTGGGAAGACCGTTCCTGTAGAATGGGTTGACTTAGTCGCAGTCAGGCAGAGTCTCTGGATTGGATCTCTTCTTCCTCCCCCGTCTTCCCGGTACCAACCATATTTATATGGTCGGTACTCCACTATGTAAATTAGGTGGATCGTACCACAACATAATGGAATACGTTTCGACTTTGGGTACGTCGTATGGTTTACAAGTACAGGTATAAACTAGTGGAAATATGAAATGTAGACTAAAAATTTGACATGGAAATTGCGATAGCGACGGAAGTTTCGACTGTGGGAAAAACGTCTGTAGGGTTAGAAAATAATTCACCGTGCTGAAAGCCGCGTAAATGCTTTTGAACTCTGTCAAGGTTTGAAAAAAAGGATTGGTCAGTTCCGGCCCAGACAGAGTATGGAATAAGGAATCAGGTACGCAAGGAACCGGCCAATTTTCCAGCATCTTTATTGATGAATACAAGTTCCACTTGTAATCTGGGACGAATTTTAGTCCTTCAAGCACCTATCTGATTGGATAGATTTGAACAGACTCAGATAGATAGATAGATAGATAGATAGATAGATAGATAGATCGAAGGGAGTCGATGAGTTAAATACGTGATTAATGGAAATACATTGATGATATAATTTTCTTGAATATAATGTTTTTTTTATCTCTTTGTCTTCTGTTTATTATTTTAAGGCATCCATAATTTGTTTCAGATCGAAAACCAACATACAAACTCTACTTCTAGTTCATTTCAATAGCAAGCGAAAAATTTGCCAGTTTTTTAATACAGTTGTCCATGTTTCAAGACAGCGAACTGGCTGAAAATCTTCTTGGTGGCATCTTTAAATCCCATGAGAGAACAAGTCCAAATTAACTGGGAATTATCGCTTGGCTAGATGTTCGTGTTCCGGTATGTCTGCTCGGCATGTCAGAACGAAGCAAAAGATAAATAAATATATACGTTTTGTTGGGTTCAGTTATCGACTTTAGATACAGCTTTGAAAACCTGAACATTAATATTCTTTTCTTTGAAAAAAATAAATAAATAAATGAAAGAAGTTAAGGAATCTTCACTTGAACTGAAATATGTAGACCAGAAAGTTCTTGCATTTCTATCGAATGTACGTCAACCGACCAATGCGTTCCACAAAATGCTATTATTTAGTGCAAAGAACTCCACGTCTGTGCACATATATTAATATGCCATTTTTCACAAGGTATAACACAGAGGTTTTATAAAATATGACACCTAAAACTTACCTAGGCTTTATACATCAAGGGTAATTTTTTAGTGAAAAAGATCATTCTATAACATTATGAAGTCTATTTTCAGTCAAAAGTTTCATTCATTCGTATAATTGAATATATGAGAGGTTGATGACAAGTTCACGCTACAACTGAGAAATGATTCAAAATAAAATTCGTATATATAGACAGTTGGTCAAATTTTGGGAAGTAGGTCTGAACGAGATCATTTTAGTACACCCAAATCGCGTAGCACAGAAAATACATAAAAAATAATATATGAATTAAATATTAAATCAATATATCAAAACATCCATTTATGGTAATAATTATACTATACGTATATATATATATATATATATATATATATATATATATATATATATGTGTGTGTGTGTGTGTGTGTGTGTGTGTGTGTGTGTGTGTATTTAGGCAGCAATCCTTCTTTCATGCACATTTCATTGAATACGACAGGCAAGGTGCTTTTATTTAGTTTCTTTATACAATTTCTCATGGGATCTAATTTTTTTTTCTTTTTGGATGATAAATTATATAAAAACTGCCCGAATGATCTTTTTATCCGAGCGCTTTCGGCTATACATTTAGCCGTTTTCAAGGATTAAATACTTTAACTGTTAAATGAGAAATAGTTTGTTGCATTTATTTTTTATATGTTTTTATTTTTCAAAACACGGTCAAGATATTGTGTCCATGTTCAAAGTTAATATTATTAAGTGTTGTTTTATTTTTGTTTTTATTAATAAGGCTTCCATTACTTTTAGCCTTATTTTTTTATGTAGATGATGCTATTATATTAGTGTCGTCAAAAGGTATGTTACGAATAGTGTCCGGTAGGTCTCCATGAATATTGAAATGAGATCTAATTGAGCTATGGTCAGAAAGGTGTAGAGATAGTCTGTGTGTCAAACATGTTGTAATGTGGCCTATATAATTATTTACGAATTTTCATTGATCAGGAATACAATTCCTTAATGGACATTTAAATTCGGAAATGATATTTGCCTATTTAATTTTGTTCTAGGCGGTGAATTATTATTTTTAACTATAAGGTTAGAGGTATTATATATATATATATATATATATATATATATATATGATAAAATATAATGTTAATTCTATTTTTAGAGATAAAGTGCATGTAAATATATAAGCGGACACTGAGATCAACACTAAGCGATAAATGTCTGTTTTTGTTGAACACAATCTTCAGGCTATGTGTGCTGTGTTATGCTGAAATAGTTCACATTACATAAAAACTATCATGGAAAATAAGGAAAACAGCATCAGCCTACAACAATATATACAAAAACTGTAAACTCTGTCTGGATGAGAAAATAGCTGTAATCACCTTCCCAGACGAGCACAAGTTACTAAATAAACGATCAGAACTTGTCTTAAAATTTTTCTACATTAAATTACTTAAAAATTGAAAAATAAAAACGAATAACTTGCAATATATACAATTTAGATAATGTAACATACCATAGACAATGCCAATTCTTTAAATGAAACAAATAAGATAATGTGAATCTATTACGATGCCACAAAAAACTGTACGTCTTACCATATCTCTAAAATATAAATCCCTTATCGTGCCACGAAAATGTGAATTCTTTGTTGCATCACTTCTACCTATGTAAGATAATGAAATATGGAACTCCCGAAAAAAATATACAAAACTCTAAATAAATAAACCCATTAAATAAAGAATAAACTACGTTATTTTACCGTTTACAAGACACACTTTTTTCCTAAAAAATACCCTGAAAAATACGTGTGCCTCTTCCAAGACGAATGTAAGGCAACGCCTAGGCTCAAGTCAACTTGGACGGTCACCTAGTTGGCTTGACTGATAGGGACCTGGATTTGTATGTTGAATTTTTACATTATAATGTTAACTATATAATTCAGCCTTTTATATGATGTGACCTTAGTACTTACCTGTTGCAAGTACTTCCTGGAGCTGAGCCACAATCTTAAACATGCTCTTTTTACTTAGCATTGACGTTCTTGACTTTTGATGGTATTTTTTCTGTCATTGCCATACAAGCAAAATCGGACGAGTGATGGAAACAATACATGGTGCCAATATGTGAGGGACGTATGGTGAATGTGTTGTTGTATGAGAACGGCTTCTATTTTTTTTAGAAATTTATTTCCAATATTAGGGTGCGTCTTCCAAGCTGCATCGCCTTGTAAGCCGGAAAATATGGTAATTAACAAAGTGAGAATGCAGGCGTAAATACAAGTAAATATATTAATAATAATCAATACAAATAATTAAGTAACTAATAGTAAATAATAAGTAAAACATTTTTAAAAAAAACTTTATAAAATAGATCCAAATACCAGAGGGGACCCAAAAGTAACCGGAATTGTGTCATATAATTTTATTCATTTATTGTTGCATGTTTATATTCTTATCAACCTTCAAAGTATTCTCCATTTGAAGCAATGCACCGATCCAGACGTGTTTTCCACTGTTCAAAGCAATCCTGGAACTCTTGTGGGGTTATGTGTTTTAATGACTTCATCGTTTTCTTCTTAACCTCTTCCGCATCTGCAAAACGTTTTCTGTTGAGAACTTTCGGAGGAAACAAAAAAATGTCACAGGGGGCGAAATCGGGTGAAGAGGGAGGGTGGGGAAGTGGGGTCATGCCATTCTTGATCAGAAACTGTCTCACACTCAAGGCCATGTGCGCTGAGGCATTGTCGTGATGCAACCAGCACCCTTCACTTTGTCACAGGGTGTTTTCGTCTTACCTTGTTTCGCAAACTCTTCAGGAATTCCAAGTAAACAACCTGGTTAACAATTTAACCATGAGGAGCAAATTCTCCGTGGAGAATTCCTTTCACATCAAAGAAACAAATCAGCATCGTCTTGACATTGGACTTCACTTGACCCGCTTTTTTGCGTCGTGATGACGTTGGATGCTTCCACTGACTTGATTGCTGCTTCGTTTCCGGGTCGTAGCCATAGCACCAGCTTTCGTCACTAGTGATGACCTTCGAAAAAAGTTCTGGATCAACTACCAACTGTTCTTTCTGTTTACGACAGGCATACCTTCTGCCATGGTAAAATTAGACGAAAAGGCGTGAAGCACTTCAAAACAAATTTGAACCACGGAATTGTACGTCTTCCCACGATGACACCAGTTAGCACACTGATGCTTGAGGGTTGCCTCCAGTGGCATCTAGCCGGCTTCGTCACACAGAAAACGATTCCGGTTACTTTTGGTTCCTCCCTCGTAATCGCATTCTTATCCATATCTCTGGTAATTTCTCAGCAATAATCAGTAGAATAATTTGAAACGTAACCGTTACCGCCCACCCAATAACCGTGAGGATAATAAAATAGACCTTCTAGCTATAATGCCCCACTAACTTATATACATAAATAATGGAGTCAAAATACGTGGCCTGGATACTGCATTCAAGCATGAAGCAGAATACTGCCGCTTAGTGTTGTCATCAGTCTAAACCTCTAGAAGATAACAATTTTAAGGCAAACAATCTCTGTAATTATTGCGTTAAATATATAGAGATAGAGCATTAATTATAACATTGATAATAATGTTTTGCTGTCACATCTAGTCTGGTGCTTCTGTCATGTATTTACATATTCTTAATAAAATCCCAAGAAAAAATCTGCAATGTTATCGGTTCTGGCCTGACATCTTTTCTTTGTTCACTTTCCCACCGCCGTAACATAGCTTCCCTCTGCATTTTCGAAAAATATTTTGATGGTAATTGTTCTGATCCGCTTTCGTCTATGGTAACTCGACATTAAGAATTTAAGCGCAGGACTAGATTGGCAGCTAGGTCTCATCATTTTACAGTCGAAATGGCTAGAAGTAATCGATCCAAGAGTAAGCTAACAGTTTCTTCTGTCGCCCTTCTCTCTTGCGAAATTCTTTTGCTTTCCAGACAACTGTGATCTTAAAAATATAAATGCAATGACCAACTTAATCGTCTCTTTAATCCATTTTCCTTTATTGCTCACTCGTCGTAATAATAATCATTTTTTTTTCCTTTTCTCGTATCTTTTCACTTTCAGTAAAACTTTCAATCTTGGTGGATTTATTGACTTTCTACTGGCGAAATTATAAGTAAAATAAACAAATAAAATTAAATGCATGAGTTTAGTTTGTTCCTTTGTAAATGACCGCACCTTTACAAGGATTTGAAATTGAATCCTGCATACTAAGAAACGATGGAAGTTGCTAAACATTCAAATCTATGAACACGCAAAGGCAATAACACTCAATTCTACTCAGATGGATGCAATAAATGAACGGTGGAAAGTTAATTCTGATATAAAACAAGTTATTTAGAAATTAGAAAAACTAAATAAAAAACTTGTCGGGACTGTTTGATAAAACTTATTTAAATGAAAAAAACATACACCGGTTTTAATAGTAAAATTGTCCACATCATGTAACAGCATAATGCAATTATCCATCCCATTTTTATTAATATTTTTTATAAAAATCAGATGAACAAAAATTATAAACAGGATGAATGCAAAATTAAGAACATTATAAAAAAATACATAACACCAGTTGACAATAGCAAAAAAATTAAATTAATTATTTATTATAAAACATTTAAAACCACTAACCTTATAGTTAAAAATAATAATTCACTTCCTAGAACAATATTAAATAGGGCAAATATTATTACGAATTCAAATGCCAATTAAGGAATTGTATTCCTCAACAGTCAACTTTCGTAAATAATTATATAGGCCACACTATAAATTGTTTAACACGCAGACTAACTCTACACTTTTCTGACAATAGCTCAATTAGATGTCATTTAAATATTCATGGAGACCTACTGGACACTATTCGTAACATACTTGTCGATAACATTAATATAACAGTATCACCCACATACAAAAAAAGGATAAAAATAATGGAAGCCTTATTAATAAAAACAAACAAACCAACACTTAATAATATTAACTTTGAACATGGACATAATATCTTGACCTTGTTTTGAAACAAAAAAAAAATGAAACATATTATAAAACATACATACAACAAACTATTTCTAATTTTAGCAGTTAAAACATAATCCTTGAAAATGGCTAAATGTATAGCCGAAAGCGCTCGGATAAAAAGAACATTTGGACAATTTCTATATAATTTATCACCCGGAAACAAAAAAATTATTAGATCGCACGAGAAATTATATAAAAAAATAAATAAAAGCACCTTGTCAGTCATTTTTAATGAAATGTGCATACATACATACATACATACATACATATACATGCATGTCTTAAGCTCTTCAATGATGTTTTTCTGGGGTTTTTTACGAGGATGGAATTGTATTATTAATTCTTCCAATGTCATCGCTCAATGTTTATTCTATGATTATTCGTCCAATACCTATGGATGTTATTCTTCATTTTGGTACTGACCACTGAGGACAAAACCATTTCAATAATAATCATCGTCTTTTACCAAAGATAATAAACTATTAAGTCTTACTTTACTATTAATATCAAGTCCTTTTTTTCATCTTGTTTTCTTGGAGAAAATATACATCAATGCCATACTTTCAACGTTCCAAGCCAATACAGCTGTATTTTTTTTTTATTTCTTCACAATTCCTTTAACATTACATTCCCCGATGGTAAAATATTTATATGCAATTAGAGGAATAATTTGAATAATAATTTAGCAACTTTTAACGGTTGAAAACCTGAAGAGTTTTTAACTTCTCCACCAATAAGAAAAATATCCTTAACTTTTTAAATATCGAATTAAAGAACGCTCTGAAATATTCTGTGTAAGTCAAGGTAAACTATAGGGAACGCTAAATGGCGTAGTTTTTCGTCATACTAATCAATGTGAGTCATTGTCCTTTGGCTTACTTATTGTTTGAATTAGATATTTAATTATTATTTATTTATTTATAAGTATTTTCTTTTATTTCATTTTTTTTACTTATTACATTAATTCACTTATTTATTTTTAAATTTTAAACGTCATGAGTTAACTGTTTTTACTTAGTGTGTGTGTGTGTATTTTATTAATTTTTATGGCCAGGTTTAATTATGTTAGTTTCAAAAAGAAAATTATTTTAAAAAAGGAGATTTTGAAAATCAACGGTGTTAATTAATATTTTAGCAAAAAAAAACGATAATTGCACTTTCAAAAAACAAATTGCAATTTCAAAAAACAAATTGCAATTTTGTTCTCTGAGCCGCTAACCATAACACTATCTGTATACCCATAAACTATCTATTATATATATCTATATATATATATATATATATATATATATATATATATGTGTGTGTGTGTGTGTGTGTGTGATCTTTTATTCTGATAATAATAGGATAAGAATGGTCTTGAAGAGAAAATCAACATCCTTTTCCAAGTGTTCCAAGAATTAGGACTCAAGATAAATCTTTTCAAAGCAGAAACAACGATCTGGAATTTCATATACCTCGATGTATGGATCAGTTATAACAAATTTAGTATAGAAGATAAAGAAACTGAATATAGAATAGGCTGCGCTAGGGGTAGTTTCATTCGACCCCGCAAACTGCTTCAAAGCCACAACATTAACCAGAAAATTCAAGTCTAATTCTTAAATACCTCGTAAGTCTTAGCAAAAACCATCCCATTTCGAACATTGTGGACTGGCGTTACAGAATCACAAAGAACCTTTAGCAAATAACAGAAACCATATCATTTGAGGAGTGTCAACAGTGGTAACAATCAAAATGGATAGCACATGTAACACGAAGAGAAAATAATGACATAATCAAGATGTTGACATTCCACACTAATTCAAGCAAAAGAAACCTCTATCAATACTAGAAAGAAGGGTACAATCTACTGGACTTAAGTAACTGATAGTGAGGAAAAATCTGCTTTCAGAGAAAGATTTTATAAATTTCAACCGACTGGAGAACTCGCTATTCGATCAGTGAATGCCGATTTTTTTCTTTAAAAGAAAATGGTTAATATTACCATTATCAATAGACATGAAGAGAACAGATACTATACTTTGATCCCAGCCAGATGGTCAACTAGTAAAGAAAAGCGTAATTCGAGTAGCATTGGCGGTTTGTTCAATGGATGACGAATGTTTTCTTATAAAGAAACCATTAATATTACCATTACCAAGTTATGGCAATTCCTCTCAATTGTTCTTCATGATTCTTTAGAGAGATTTTATTTCTCTTTACAACCATGTGCTCGGAGATACCCACATTAAAAAGGCCTTGTGCCACATTCAATTCCTGTGGGTGAATTGATAAATACCTTTATCTCATATAGTTATGCAACTTTTTTTTTATGCTAGAGTGTAGCGATTTCCAGAGCTCATGCACTGAATATAGATTAATTTATTTCATGCCTTCCAAAATTTATGTTTATAATTTTTTTTAAAAAATATATTCATCTTTATTGATCACGGTCGTATTATTGGGTCCTGGGTAATGACGTCTTTTCTTATGCGCTGTGTTCCTTCAGGACATAGGCAATCATAGTTCTCCATGACTTCCTATCTCTTGCAGCTCTTTGTAATGGCTGTCTTTTTGCCATCCCTCCTCCGCTTTCTCTGTCAGTTTTGTCTTCGATATATCCTGTGAGTGTCATATCTCGAAACCTTTCTTGCTCAATATGCTGCCAAGAAAATTACAGCTGCCTCTTTCTTCTTTTGAGCATAATTATCTTTTTCGTTTCCATTTTCCTCGATATTTCTTCGTTGCTTACGCATTCAATCGACGATATTCTCAGCATCCTTCTGTAGAAACACGTTTCTGTTGCTTCTGTTGCCTACAGTTTTCTCTTTATCTATGATGAGATTGCTCAGCATGCACTGCCTTATAGGATTGATATTACATAACAGTTCAACGTTATATCCTTTGTTTCTTATAAAACTTCCCTGTTTCTTCGATCTTTACTTAGAAAGCATCTTCTCTTATTACAATGTGCCCTCAAATTTTAGTGTC